GTATAAGAGAAGAAGGTGAATTACGTAATAATTCTCGATTATTCATGTTGGAAAATGGAGAACGCATTTCGCGAATTGCATAAATTACAAACATTGTGTGTAAAAAATGTTTCCGATTTTTACATCAGCAAATCTTCTTGTTCTCTGTTCACAGAACAACCTGACAGACGGGAAAGAAGATCTGCCTGAAGACACTTTCTCGCTGTTGTCGGTGCTTCTAGTTGGTTCGCTAAACTTCCCATTTGATCGATCGCGACTCGCCCCTCGAAGGCAACCCTCTAGGAGGACCTTCACTCGAAAACTTTGATCTAAGCTCGCTATCTATCTCTCTTTAGCTATCTATCTATCTATCTCTCTCTCTCTCTTTCTCTCTCTATTCCCTCCCTATTTCGTTCTTTATCTCCTCCTCGTTTCTAAATAGCTGTATCCATAATTCCTTCTTCTCGTCTGTTTCGTCCATATATCATTGTTATATTTCTTATCTTCGTGCATTTGCAATTGCAATTCGCTTCGTTCCGTTGATCCTTTTCCTCTCATTAATCGAATAATTTCCACAAACGGAATATATCAACGTTTCCATCCTCTCCTCTTCGAGATATCTCTTCTTACGATTCATTTTTATTTTTCTTCACGGAACTCAATCATCTCATAGGAATTAAAAAAAAAAAGAAAAATTCATTCACGACAATTACGATGTCCCTTCGTTTGTATTTCTTAAATGTCGTAATTAAAAAAGAAAAAAAAAATCGCCCGATAATCGCCCATAATAATTCGATGCATCTCAACTCAGCTCTTCGAGGGGTGAGTGATATTATTTGAGCAAACTCCATCGATTCTCCAACTAGTCCACCTTGTTCCCCCGATTCTTTTCAGGATTTCTCTTCCTGATCTTGATATTTTTATCCGTGGCGGGGAACATTTTAGTCTGTGTGGCAATTTACACGGACCGCGGTTTACGGAGAATAGGGAATTTATTCCTGGCCTCCCTCGCTATCGCCGATCTTTTCGTCGGTTGTCTGGTTATGACTTTTGCCGGGGTGAACGATCTCCTCGGCTATTGGGTATTCGGGCCGCGATTCTGCGACACTTGGATCGCCTTCGACGTTATGTGCAGCACTGCCTCTATTTTGAATCTTTGCGCGATCTCTCTCGATCGTTACATACACATAAAGGATCCTCTCA